ATGATACTCAAGGTAGGTGGTGGGTCGTCAAGTGGAACGCAAATGGGGTACAACGAGTTGGGCATCATCAGTCCGTGGGTAGCATGGAAGAGAGATCATGTAGAGTAGGTGAAAGCTTATGGATAGAGAACAGAATGTAATGGGGATGTGCTTCTGAAGTTCTACGTTACACTCAGTGTAAGATCAATTCAATTCCCATCGTTGAATCAAGTCAACCTGTCCCAGGTCAGCCTAGCGTTGTTGCAACCCAATTATCCATGCCTAACGTGTCTATCCCCCCTTGTTTAATGAACTGTGTGTGAGTGTTTTTTACATCGATCCGTTTAGTCAGACCGTTGAACTCATGACCCAATCAGAGTGTTTTGTAAACTGTTATTTTTGCTGACCCATGTCTTACTTTGTACTATTCTGTCGAGTTTATCTTATTTATTGATCTTCATCTGTATCAGCCTACCTGGTTAAGTAGCCTATTAAATTCTATCTTTGTGCCTATGCTCTGTCTATATCTTACTTGGGTTCATTCTTCTACTGACTGCTTACCTGAACGGTCGTGTCTGATTCCGGCTAGTTCGCAATTTTGGCTTTAACGTTATTCCGCTATGATAGCGGTCGGTACCTTGCTTTCTGTTATGCGTTGTGCTTTGTACTCTTGAAACCGTTAAGGTTTGTTGTATATATATATATAATTATTGATTTGTTTATTAATAGTACCGTAGAAACAGTGATCGGCTTCTTGTTTGTTCTAGACCGCGATAGCTTTTATCTACGCGTGACTTAATTTCAAGCGATATTGCGCTTACACTAAGAACACACATATATCGGAATTGTCTCCATTATCAAATTGATTGAGTAAAACATAACTCATAGGGAAATGGTCGCGCTATGTCGTGAATTGGCAGAAGTTAGAATTCAAGGACCATTGGATCGGGTCCCAGTGGCTCAATGGTCTACGAGCTCGCCTTGTAACCAGAAGGTCCTGGGCCCCGGCCGAAAGCTGCTACCTTGACGTGGTGGTCGGGCTTGAACACTGCAATGACCCGACAAGCTATACTGGCTGGAACTTATGTTCCTGCAGGTCCTACCATGCCAGAAAGGTTGTTTGGATAGCAGTTAGACTAAAAGCAGTTACTCAATCCAATCCTATGATTTCAAATAAATCACAAAATATCATGCCGGATCGGTCGGGGCCCGGATTAACAACGACCGCGCTTTCTGCTGCCGTGTCACAGGGCAGAAGTGATAAATACGCTACTGAGACACACCAAATAAAAAAGAACAAACAAAAACAGGCCGTGTGTGACCGGCCTCAAGCAGTTGTCCCCTGGGCTCTGCGGTCACGCAACCAACTTCCACGGTGTGGGCAGCCGGGAAGTAACAATCGCCCTCACAATCCGAAGTGCACGTGAAATCCCTCTAATCCTCACTCATCTTTGTCTTCATGTTCATCTCTATTATCTTGCCTTCCTTCTACCAATGCAACTCCTCTACTTGTTGGCTCTTCACTTCCCCTTCACTCTGTGTGCACTGATAACGATGGAAGCCAAAAAGCCACCACCGATTGTCTCCTAAAACCACGCCACCAATTTTATATAGGAGCATTTAATGTTAGGACACTTTGCCAAATAGGACAACAAGCATCACTAGCCAAGACTCTGGCATCCCGAGCCATTGATGTATGTTGTGTTTCAGAAACACGCATACAAGACCCAAGTGTGGTTATTCACCTAACCCCACCTGGCCAACAGGATGAATCTGCAAAATTCACCTTGAGGGTGTCAGGAGATGCGACGGCTAGCTCACGAGGATTAGCTGGTGTTGGAATAGCTTTAAGTACTAGAGCAGAAAAGACGTTACTTGACTGGATCCCGGTAGATAGCCGAATGTGTGCTGTCCGTCTGAACGGATCAGTGAAAAAGAGAAAGGACTGCACTAGTCGCCGATGCCTTTTCGTAATCTCCGCCTACGCCCCCACTGACTGCAGTTCGGATGAAACGAAGGATGAGTTCTACCAAAAGCTGTCTAGTTTGCTGCGAAAGGCTAAACGCTCAGATATTGTCGTTTTAGCTGGTGACTTTAATGCTCAAATAGGGAAATTGTGTCAATCTGAGAAAAATGTCGGTGGCACATACGGAATTCCGTGCCAGCGAACCGACAACGGTGACCGTCTCCTACAGTTCTGTTCAGATAATCATTTGTTTCTTGTAAGCACTAACTTCAAACACAAGGACAGACACTGTTTGACTTGGCGACCCCCATCATCAAATCAACGCTGGACACAAATAGACCACATAGCAATAAGCTATCGTTGGCGTGGGTCGGTAGGAGATTGTCGCTCCTTCTGGAACACGTGTGTAGATACCGATCACGCACTGGTCCGCGCTCGTGTGTGCTTACGACTGAACGGACGTAGGAAACAGCTGGCGGTAAACCCATCACGTCCCCAGCTCGACCAGGGAACTAAGTCCCTATTTGAGGAAGAACTAGCTAAACACATATCTGAGTTCGACAGCTGCGCTCACCCTGAAGAAGCCTGGAAGAATATTCAGTCAGCCTTAGATACAGCTGTAAAAGCTGTGAATAAGGTAAATCCAAAGGTGAGTAAAAACCATTGGATTTCGACTGCCTCATCCGAACTGATAGATGCTAGAAGACTTATTCCGGCGAGCTCCGAATTCAATGAGGAGCGAAAGCTGCACAAAAGAAAACTTACGAAAAGTCTCCGCAAGGACCGTGAACAGTGGTGGTTGACAAAGGCGAAAGAGATGGAAAAAGCATCGGCGATAGGCAACACCAGACAACTATTCAGGCTTATCAGGGAAACAGGTGGTAAAAAACAAACGATAAGCGAAACAATCTCCGAGAAAAATGGCACCATAATTAGCTCCCAGGATAGACGTCTGGAGCGCTGGAAAGAACACTATGAAGAGCAGTTTAATTGGCCCACAGCCACACTTAACTTACCGGACATCCAACACCTCCCTGAATGGGAGATAGACACAGGTCCTCCGTCCTTAACCGAGGTTACTAAAGCTGTCACCAATCTGAAGCTAGGCAAAGCAGCGGGACCTGATTTATTGACTCCAGAGGTATTTAAGTACGGAGGCGACAGTTTACTGTCTGCGTTAACGGAGGTTCTAGGCAGCGTCTGGGAATCAGAGGAAGTCCCATCGGGTTGGTGTAAGTCACTGATCATCCCGATATACAAGAAGGGGGACAAGTCGTCTTGTGATAATCACAGAGGGATTAGCTTGACTAATATAGTATCTAAAATCCTAGGCTCAATAATACTGCGAAGATTAAGTGGTGCTCGGGAGACACAAACACGAGAAAACCAGGCAGGTTTTAGGCCAGGTAGAGGGTGTATTGATCACATCTTCACCCTTCGACAGATTCTAGAACATAGACATTCCTACCGGCGTCCGACAATCATTATATTTCTTGACCTAAAGGCGGCATTCGATTCTGTCGACCGGGAGGTTCTCTGGCGATGCTTGGCTGTAAAGGGAATGCCAAGAAAATACATTGCACTGATTAAGGCACTCTACTCGTACTCATGCAGCCAGGTGAGGGCTTATGGCGAGTTGTCATCTGAAGTGGTGACGACTAGTGGCGTCCGTCAAGGATGCCCATTATCCCCATTCCTATTCAATTTCATCATAGATGTACTAATGGACTTAACCCTAACTCACTTCAGCGACTCAGGGATTGACTTGCCAGGGAAGAATCTCGTTGACTTAGAATATGCGGACGATATAGTCCTTCTAGGCGAGGACTCTGACAAAATGCAGAGTCTACTGAACACCCTGAGCAACAATCTCCGCATGTTTGGCATGCGATTCGCCCCTATAAAATGTAAGATGATGCTGCAGGATTGGACTTCATCGACCCCTAGATTAGAAATAGGAAGTGAAGTGGTAGAACACGTTGACCGCTTCACTTACTTGGGAAGTACCATCAGCCCCAACGGGTTGATCTCCGACGAAATTTCAGCACGAATACAGAGGGCTAGGTTCGCATTCGCCAGTTTTCGCCGTCTCTGGCGTAGACGCGATATCCGACTATCGACCAAAGGGCGTGTGTACTGCTCAACAGTCCGCTCCGTCCTCCTTTATGGCTGTGAGACCTGGCCATTGAGAGCAGAAGACATGAAAAGATTAGCTGTGTTCGATCATAGGTGTCTACGTTCTATCTCCCGCGTGTGTGAAGTGGTATAATAAGGTGAGCAATACTGAGGTTAGGCGTCGAGTGCTAGGTAAGGCGGGGAAATCAATCGACGAGACTGTGAAATTACTTCGACTGAGATGGTTAGGACATGTGCTACGTATGCCTAGTCATCGCCTTCCTCGACGGGCAATGTTAGCTGATATAGGGTCAGGCTGGAAAAGAGCTAGCGGCGGTCAAACCAAAACATGGCACCAATCAATGAAATCCACAACAGTTAATCTAAGCCACGTAGGAAGATGTAGACTTCCTGGTTGGGGCCCTTGGGATGGTAAAAACCAATGGTTGGAAACAATTGGTGACATGGCTCAAAATCGTTCTCAGTGGCGCAGATGCATCCACTCCTTGTGACTTATGATTTCCAATTAAACTGTTTTGTTCTCCGTTATTACTATTCCTTTGTCTCACACCTCTGTTTACTGTCTACATTATGCATTTCTTCTACTTCCTTCTCTTGCTTTGCGTGCTACATGGATTGTGGCGACTTGAACTGCCGCACATATGTGCAAAGTTCTATGTCGAAAACAGACAGACAGACAGGTCCTCGGTTCGAATCCCGGTGGGCGCGTACTGCTGAAGAGTCCCAAACTAGGACGGAAGAGACAGCTGTCCAGTACTCTCAGGTTTTCCAGTGGTTCTCTAACTGATGTCAGCTCATGATGAAATCCTCCATGCAATTAAACAAAATCCCTACCAAACCAATACTTGAAAATAACTCAATAAGACAAAAAAAAACAGAACAAACAAACGAACAACAACATCTGACACAATTCACTAACCTGTAAGGGAAAACAGTATTATTCTGTATTGGTCCAGTCATATCGATTTGACCTGATGTTGTTGTTGTATACCATGATTGGGTTACCTTATTAGCATAATATCTAGCTGCTTTCAATGCATTAATATAATCATCTGGTTGTTTCAATACACTATGATATGTCATAAAGTAATTTGCACCAACTGTGGCCTCTTCAATATTATTCTTATCAATGATAAGCTGAACACCAGCGTTATAGGCAGCCTTTCCACTGTAAAATTAACATTAAAATAAAACAAAAATAAACTTCAAGTGTTATGTTGCACAGAAAGAGAGGGAGAGAGAATCCTTAATGATCAGCGTTCAAACAACTTGACAACTGTATTTCATCCTTTTTTTCTTTAACAAAAAATCTTGAAATAATAGAGAAGATTTGCAGCTCAGGTGGATGATTTGAAATTAAAAGTGTTCTCTGGGCTGGTTGGTTTAGTTGCGAAGCTTTCGTCGTCCTTCTGGGCAACATCTTCAGCGCCATATTTAGCACAAAGTGAAATGATTTCAATTTCTTCATGCGTGATGTAATTGCGTCTCCTGGTTACTATCTTTACATGTGTATTGACCACTTTCTATTGACTTGGATTTTAAACTTTTTGGTCACCTGATTTACTTTTATTAATTGGTATATTTCATCTATATTAACGTGTTTGTTAATCGCATTTTCGCTTGAGTACCAGGCTTCTAGGAATTCCCTGACTGCACTTTTCGTGTTTCCTCTGTCTAAGATTTTGACATTATCCCAATCAAATTGATGACCATAATTGTCTATATGCATTGATACTAAAGAATACATATCGTGTCTTTTCACGGCTGATTTGTGTTCCTGCATTCTGATTTGAAGGGGACGCCCACTTTGGCCGATGTAATGCTTGTTGCAGTTCATACAATTTATTTTGTAAATGGTATTAATTTGATCCCCTTTTTCTGTTGGATCTTTTGGTTTGCATAATATCGAATTACGCGATTTGACTGGTTTGTGTGCTATATCTATATCTAACGGTTTCAGTATTCTGGCTGTTATTTCAGAGATATTCCTCATGTATGGTAGAATGAATTTTCTCGTGGTCTTTGATGATGGTTCTTTCTTGGTGTTTTGATTCGACTTTAAACACTTTTTGATGAAATTTTGTGGATAACCATTCTTTTTGAAGACCGTTTGTAGGTACTTTTCTTCCATTCGTTTCAACTCTGGAGTGCTACAATGTGTTTGAACTCTCTTTTAAACAATGTCTGCACACAGTTTTGTTTACGAGTAACTGGATTATTGCTACTATAGTTGAGTATTTGATCTGTGTGCGTTGATTTCCTACATATACTTGTGTTTCTAAATCTCCTGTGTTGGTTCTCCTGATTAGGACATCTAAAAATGGGATTTTGTTATCTAATTCTTCTTCTCTTGTGAATTTGATGTCTTCAAATATGTTGTTTATTAATTTATGAGTATATTCTAAATCACTTCTCTTAATTATTACAAATATATCATCAACGTAACGTATCCAGATTTTCGGTTTAATTATAAATAGTTACGTTGATGATACATTTGTAATAATTAAGAGAAGTAATTTAGAATATACTCATAAATTAATAAACAACATATTTGAAGACACCAAATTCACAAGAGAAGAAGAATTAGATAACAAAATCCCATTTTTAGATGTCTTAATCAGGAGAACCAACACAGGAGATTTAGAGCCACAAGTTTATAGAAAATCAACGCACACAGATCAAATACTCAACTATACTAGCAATATTCCAACAGGCTGATTTACCAGTTTCTAACAAACTTAAGAAAAAGCCTCATGGTGGATGGCAACAAGCTTTAAAGCGTACTCCAATGCATTTGATGACTGTTCCTGTGATTATGAGCACAAATTGCAGATCTCTACCAAACAAGATTAATTACTTGCATTCTCTATTATACTCAAATGTATATTATAATACTACTGCTGTAATTACTCTTCAAGAAACTTGGCTGCACGATTCATATGACGATAATTTAGTCTCTTTACCTGATTTCACAATGTACAGACAAGACCGATGCAGCTCAAAAAAAGAAGAGAGGTGGAAGTGTTGCCACTTTTATTCATTCTCAGTGGTCTACTGCTGTGGTGAGAGCTGTCTACTAGCCAAATTGGTTGACAGTAATTGAGGTCAAAGGTCAAGGTGGACAGGCGAATACAGTTAACATATAGATGAACTGACACAGCCACAAGCGATGCAAGGTTAACTTTGTGTGAGAAACAACCAATCAACGGACTGTATTTTCTACTAACGTTGACCTACAATAATGTACATAAAAATCTATAAATACGTGTTGATTTTTCGTAATAAACGATCTGTTGCCTGGCCCTTGTCTTCTGTTGTTACACTGCCAACAACGCCAGCTTCAAATTCTCAAATGACAACATTTATTGTATAACTGTTAAATGCCGACCTAAACACTTATCTAAGTATAACTGCATTTTTGTCACAAATATCTATGTCACACCTTCTTGCAGTCCCTCAGAACTATCAATCTTTGCTGACGAATTCACTATTTTTGCTGCTGCTTCGTTTGGTAACTCCTTGTCTGTAGTGACTGGTGACTTCAACGTCAGTGACTACAGTTTTATTACACTGCTGGGTCATGAAAATGTGGTTAACTTCCCAACTCGACAAGATACTTCGCTTGATTTAGTATTCACAAATGATTCTGGAATATACGAAGGTCGTAAAAGAGCTCCACTCTCAAACTCTGATCACTGTATTGTTCGAGTTCTACCCAAAGTTTGCGGAAAGTTACACAAAATAGCCTTCTCTAACTTCTCCAAGAAAGTTGTTCACAGATGTTACTGAAATGAGAATGTACATCTTAGAAACATGCTACGTGACACAAGATGGGATCTGTTTAATCATGTTTCACTTGATGACACTATCTCTAATATTACATCTTATCTGAAATTCTGTTTTGAAATCTGCTGTCCAAAAGAAACACTATTCATCAAATTCGACCGTTTCTCCTCCCCTCAACTTAAAAAGCTTCGTAGAGAGAAGGAAAAACTATATAAAATGAAAGATAAAGGTGGTGTAAAAAGAACTAACTTCCTTATCAAGTCTGAAATGCAGAGATTGAATGTTATATATAACCAGGAATTCATATCCTGCAAAAATGCTTCTAATATGTGGAAACTATTTAAGGAAATCACTGGTGGTAAGCAGAAAAACAATACTCCGTATTCTTCTGATGTATGTACTCTTAATAAGTCTTTTATTTATTCTCCCTCAAATTCCATGCTTCCCAGTATCACTAGTGTTAATAATAGCCCCTTTCCAGGTTTTAACACAAATGATGTTCAAAAGTGCCTCAAGTCTCTGAACCCTTCCCAGAGCTTAGGTCCAGATCATGTACCTAGTATTATTTTCAAAAAATGTTCTGATATTCTATGTTACCCTCTCACTGATCTGTTTAACAAATCTTTTTCCAGTAATATTGTGTCTGCCGTTTGGAAAGACATTAAAGTTGTACCCATACCTAAATCGTCTACTGGAGCATGTGTCAAATTTAAACCCATTGCTGTTACCTCTCCTTTTTTGAAAACTATGGAGAAACTACTTTTACTTAGTCTTGTACCCTCTCTTAAATCTTTTAATGACCCAAAACAATTTGCTTATAAGCACAGCAGAAGCAATTTAGATGCAGTTGCCGTCTTATATCATAACATTGCTTCCAGTCTAGACAAAGGGGCTGAATTTGTTCGTTGTGCCTTCCTAGACTATACATCTGCTTTTGACTCGGTCCCTCGGGACATCTTATTAAATAAACTTGCTGCAAGTCAAACAGAATGTTAGGTTGTTAACTGGTTACATTCCTATTTCTCAGAAAGAAAGCAGTACACCGTGTATAAAGGAAGTCTTCCACTTCATTGCCTACTGAAGCTGGTGTCCCTCAAGGCGCTGTCCTTTCTTCTTACATGACTTGCCTCATTCTGATGAAATAAACTTTGTGAAGTACGCTGATGATTTAACTGTTTCAATGGCTGTTAACTCCCAACTAGATTGTACCAAAATAAATAGCTTTCTGTCCGGAGTCAGTAAATTGTCTGAGTGCAACGGTCTTAAACTGAATCCTTCTAAATGTCAAACTGTTAATTTCAGCTTAAGATGTAAACGACAGTTAAAAGAAGCCGTCGATTCTCATGACAGTTGTAAGATTGATGACAATCATATAGGAATTATATGAGAAATTAAGTATCTTGGAATTATTCTCTCTCCTGATCTCTCTTGGTCTTCCCATGTCTCAACGATCTCCAGTAAAATATTCCGCCTGACATTTTACATTAAGAAGTTAAGGCACTCGGGTATAACTCAACCCCTCCTCTTACAGTTCATAAACTCTTGCATCCTACCTATTCTTCTTTATTGTTCACCCTTATTCTTTCCTGGTTTGCTTAAAAAGGACTATGTCACAATTCGTAGAATGCTGAAGACTGTCAGTAGGATGAGTGGTGTCCCAGTGGACTACATAGTTAACGTCGTTGTCGATAGGCACTTGACTTCGTGCAGTAAATTTGCTAAAGGGATTTTGTCTGACTTGGAGCATCCACTTCACCCTCAGCTTTCACCTTGCATCTCCTCAGGTAGAACAAGAAGTAACTTCAGAAAACTGTATGCTCGCACGTCTAAGTATAAAAATTCTATGATACCATACTTGGTACGTATTTTATGTGATGAAAATGGCGTCAGGCAAGAATTAACTAACCTTTTTTCATCTAGTAAATAAACAATCTCCTCCATCTATCTTTATATACCTTCAAGTTCTACTCTTATTATTTCTATTATGTTTATGGTCTTGTTGCTTCTTTGTTTTCACTTTCATAATTGCAAACACCACCTTATCTCTATGACTGCTGTAATCTTTGTTTTTTCCCTCACCATATCATGTAAACAGAACATCATATTCAGTATTTTTAATCATGCAAGGATTTGTAAACCGCATCGACAATACTGTGTGAAACAAGCCCACGGCAATTTCCACTTGTATTATTATCATTACCTTAGCTGCTATCATTACTATTATCTCCATTTAAATGCTGCATGTTTTCTATTTTTCTTTATATTAACCCTAATGTAAATGTAGAAAATTTTTCTGTGTGATTAATTTCATTTATATTGTGATTAATGCTGAAAATTCCAATCTGTATCACAAGTACTGTTTTTGGAATAAAGGAAATCGTT